TATATATATATATTTGCCTTTTTTTTGGCGGTTACCAATATTCAATATTCAGATTTATCCCAAGTAAGGTGGACTATGGCTCTTTGGATCACTAATCTTTTTTGTCCTGCATGGATAAGAAGCTCTTATTTTCAGTGCTTGGTAACTTTTCAAGCATTATTTTAAATACCTATGGTATTAACATCCCTGTCCTATTACAGGCTAAGCAGATGGAATCATACAAAAATCTTTTCTGAGTACGATGACGGAGAATCTGAGAATAGTGATGCAGAATATATGGATGCTGGTCGTAGGAGCAAGGCTACATTAGTATCAGACTCCAAAGCATCTTTATTACGGTCAGTGGGAATGTTTTAATATGTAATGGTTACTATTTATCATCCTGAGGATGTTTTACAGACGCTGGAAGCTATTGTAATCTTTAGTGATGCTTTCTAGTTTAGACTATATTTCACATGTAAGATGAGTGGGTGTATGCCATATTTCCAGGTCCAAGAAAACACGGAAAGCAGCCAAGAGTTTGCAGGAAGATCTGTATGATCAATTAGACGACGAGCCACTTGACTTACTTGACCAGAAGAAGACCAGGTCAGCTCTTAGAGGATCTGGCAATCTCAAGCGGAAGTCTGAGTCAGAAGATGAAGCAGAAATAGACTCTGAAGGCCGTTTGATTATTCAAGAGGGAGATAAGAAGCAAAAACGAGTCAAGCCACCTACTAATGATTTTGATGTAAGAAGCGAAGCAGGAAGTCGCTTTTCTGAGAGCTCAAGGAAAACTCAGAAACGGAGGAAAACGTCTGATTCAGGATGGGCCTACACTGGAACAGAATATGCAAGCAAGAAGGCAGGTGGTGATGTCAAGAGGAAAGACAAACTTGAGCCATATGCCTACTGGCCCCTTGACCGCAAGATGATGAGCCGTAGGCCTGAACATCGAGCAGCAGCACGAAAAGGAATGGCAAGCATTGTGAAGCTAACAAAGAATCTTGAAGGCAAGAGTGCATCGTCCATACTGTCCGCAAAGAGAGTCAAAACTAAAAAGAAAGCCAGCTCCAAAAAGACTAAGGTGTGAAATCTGCTTTGTTGATGCTAGGTCAAAATGGAGACCTCAGCCCAGAGGCTCGCTAGTTTGTGCCATAGTTTGCACTTGGGGCTTCTAGCAATCTGGCGCCCCATGTACTTTTTTGATGTCATCTTGTCATTTAATTCGTCCATGTATAATTGTATATCACATGTTGAAGTGATTTGTTTTTTGGATAGGAATGTCTAGGAAAAGGAGGTAGGAAGGAAATCGAGTATTCGTAGTTGCCATAGGAAAATTAGCGAATGCGTCAAATGCTAGCTATTTAAGTTGGTTATTTGTAATATTCTTACCAAAGTGCAACATGTTGGTGCATGAAAGTAATCTGAGTCACCTGCGATTTGCTAAATTTCTCGAAATCATTTGAATTGTTGTTGCAACCCAGAGAGATTTCATTTTAGCACGGGGTTTTGATACTAGAAAAGTTCAGCTGCCTCAAGTTTCTCTCCAACCAATTGTTGCAACGCAACTTGCTCAATTCAGCAAATTGGCTCGTTCTTTTATTAGGTGTATCTAGGTTAAGGGTATGGGTTCACGTAAACCCATGTTCCTCTTCTTAAATCATGTATAACAATGCTATATTTTTTAAAATTATTTAAATATATGTACATGCACCAATGCTTAAAAACTCCTATTGTGCAATAATTATTAGTTACACTTCCACAAGTGAAATTNTATATATATGAAAATCACTAAAATTTTAAAATGAATCTAATTTTGAACTTACGATTTCAAAAGTGTAGTGGGTTCATGACAAGACTAAAGTTAAACCCGTCAAATATAAATTTTAGATCCACTAGTGTACCCATCATCTTGGAATCCTGAATCCGCCTCTGTTAACTAATTGTGGTAAGGTTTACTTATTGGGTATGGTTTGGTACTGACATACATTTGTAACTAGATACTAAAATCTTGGAACACTCATGTTAATATCCCCGGTTGGAGGCTCCGAATTCAGTTAAGATAGATCTCCAATGAGCTGCTTTGAGAAAACTATCTTCTGAGTGAAGCTTTTTTGGCTGGATTGCTTAATTTTGTATTACTGAATGATACAAGTTACTGTTTTTAAAATTCAGAAAATTCAAAAATATAAAGTTATATCGTCTTTGTGTTAGCACGGAATATAATTTAGTTCTGCCTTTTCCGAATGTATAGGAAACTAAAAAATTTTAGTTACTGATCTGATTTATTTGAGCACGTTACATCATACGTTTTAACTAAATTATAATTATCGTCTTATCTATCCAATAATAAAAGTTCATTGTAATTATATTAAACAACTCATATAATTTCAAATAACTTTTGAATGATATTCAAATATTGTAATTATATAGGTTGTGCTACAAATAATATAAAAATATAACATGATTCAAAACGAATAAGAATAATTATAACTAAATGAATCTAAAAAATCTTTATTTACTAATTTTTTAAAATTCATTTGTTATTTATCCACCATCATCACTACAATCTTCAACCCCTTCTTATTTGTAACTCGTGATGAAAATCATAAAGTAGTTTATTTGTAAATACATGTTTATTCAGAAATAGTCTCATATGAAATAATAATTCAAACTTGATTTATAATTATGATAAAAGAAAGAATAATGTGACAGAAAAGAACAAAAATCATACTAATGGATTGCATTGATTAAAAACTTGAGAAACTATTGATTCAGGCGACTTTTGGGTGATTGTTCGCTATTTTGGTTCTTAATTACTTTTTTTTCTTTTCAAGGAATTAAATTCAAGTTGGTTTGCCCAACCTTATTTCAAGTGATTTGCTAGAACATGAAGTATTAGAGTTAAAAAGTTAGAACTGTTATACTAAAGTTAGAAATTGCCCCACATAAGGCAAGTATGTATATTGTGTTTGACACCTATCTGTATTTTATGTTTATAAGGAGAGGGTATGTCACCTTCTACAAATGCTGCCTTCATATGGACAAATCAAAAAGGTGCAGGACAAGTCGGATAGGCACATGACAAGTCGGACAAGCACATGCTAAAAGTTCATGAATGATTGTCTTTCAAATAAATGAGCTTATAATACATTAAATACACATTTCTAAATTGGTTGCTTGAACTACAATTTTTTTTGCCCGATAGTACTACATTTAACAAACTGTTGTATAACACATGAATCTTTGATTGTAGATTTGCAACTTACCCTTTGTATTTTATGTTTATCAGGAGAGGATATGTCACCTTCTATATGTGTTCGCTTCATATCATGAAGCGGACAATTTTGAGCCAAAGTCAAAGACAAAATCGGACAGGTGCAGGACAAATCGGACAAGCACATGACAAGGATGCCCGGTACAATTCGGACAGGTTCAGGACTATTCGGACTGGCGCAGTATCTATATTTGTAACTAGAACATCAGCTTCATCAGTTTCAAGCACAGAAAAATTGCCTGTGGCAGAAAAGTTTAGACTTGCATCTTTAGAGAGAGATAATCAACTAGCACTAAAGCGAGCAAAGAATGCAGGACAACATCACTGTTGTGCAGAAAAAGAATGGGTAATTATGAATAGAAGGGCAAAAGCACGCATTGAAATCCCCGAACATTCGGAACTGGACATAGATATGTACTTTTGTAACCTCCATTTCATCTTTATCAACCAGTGGAAAGAGCTTCTGTTCGACAGCATATGTTGATAAGGAAACATATATTTTAGCAAGCCTCGTGTACAGTTGTATTTAATCATGTACAATTATATTTAGTCTTTTATATATTATGCTTTTTCAAGGGGTAATATGGCACAAACATTAACTTTTCAACATTATATTCTACTTTGTAGTGGGCTAAAAGAAGTTCACACCCCTTTCAGGTGTGTAATGATATTTGAAACAATATGATTTCGAAGTTTTGTGCTTAAAGAAGGAATTAATAATAGTTGGTGCTACAAAATAAAGAACAAATCTCTTCATAACAATGAGTTCCAAATGTGATATTTGAGTTTTGTTTGTCGCATCTAGCGTATTTTTTCTTCCTAAAATGAAGTTTCTGTGTGAGAATTTCAAACTCTAAAATTATATAGTCGAACCCACAAAGAAATATGTTATTATATTAGATGACTGACGTATGATCTCAAGCAGTCTATGCAAGATACTATTGTCAAGAATATGAAAGAAAAGATTATGCATAAGTGCTCAAAAGGCAAAAGTAACAAGCAACGTCACTTTAATTGATGCAACAATGGAGAGGACTTTGGTATTTCCCGTGGCTAATGCTACATATACATCTTTTTCTATTATCTCTTTTGCTGTTCATCTCTTTGAACTAATTCGCGCGCGGATACATATACTAGTTAGATTAAAATATGTATTAATCAAGTTAAATATCTGAGAATCTGCACTACAGACGCATACAACTTCATTGGATATAAATGTAATCATCCCGCATATCCCCTTTGGGAAAGTTAAAGAGTTTGTCCACTCAAGTTAATAAATGTCAAGAAGTGCAGTAAATCTTGGAAAGTCAAAATTAAAAGCTGTTATAGTATATATCGCATTCTCCGCTTATACAAGGAAACTAGTTCACTAGGTATTAAGGGCCATATGCAACCGCCTAAAGGTCACATGCCAACTCAGTTTCCATAAATCATGTGGCTGTTATGTGTAAGGATATATAAGAAAAAGATTTCAGTTTAGCAGAGACAAGGAGATTGTCACACTATGGAGAAGAAGTTGATCCTTTGCCCATTCTGCACTTCAGGTTCTTCTGTCTCCAACAATCATCTAAAAAGGAATTCTCTACATCGCAGTAGCACCGCCATTTGAGACACAGGTCTCTTCTAAGAGTGTCCATAGTGACTCTGGAATTAACGATCCTTCCCCATATTCCTGAAATAAATGAAACATATGTTCTTCAAAATACACGCCTTTTTTAAGTTTTCTCACTTCCTCAATACAGACAAGCATGAATCTACATACCTTTTGTATCTGTCAGATGCACCAACATTGCCCGAGAGATCTACTTGTAAGGAGCAAATAAGATTGATGAGTTGTGGCCACCAAATCCAAATGAATTAGATAATGCCACCTTAATATCCAGTCGTTCCTTTTTGGGACCCACAAGTTTAGTTGTATCCTGTTTCATAGATATACATATCATCAGCTGCGGTGATTACCAGGTCAACTAAGGGTGAAAAGGTGCAATAGGGAACCACGGGAGAGAGGACATATCACATGCTTTGTATTCATATCACAAAGAAATCTGTCTTGCTTGCAATATGAGAGATCAGTCGACTAATGCAGACAATGTGAATCAAACCAATAGACATGGCCATTGTAACTCGTGAGTTTTTTCATTTCTATACGACACTCCTCCGGAAACCAGCTTTTAATGATACAGAAACGAATTCAGAAAAGCTGTGAATTTCATCTTAAATCTAGCTACTCAAGCCACGAAGGGTGACCAACTCTGTACACTTGACACGCAAGTGTTCTTTGCAGTTTTCATCTGATAAAATTCTATAGTGATGATGATAAACCATGCTTAATGACAAGAAATCGTTGAGAATGCACAGAAGATAAATCCTTACCACGCCTTCATCTGGGTTTTCCAGATTAATATTTGGATGAACCCAACCAGTTCGTATTGCCTGCAATGCAAAGTCCCAATTTAACTGTCAGTCTGAAATTCCAGCCAGATAATTTTTGCATAGGTTAAGCAAAGAAGGGCCACGTTCAAAAATATAACCAAGAGAGTTTTATAGGATGAAATCCACAATAATCAATCACCTTAAGAATAAATTCTGCAACATCTAGTTTCTATCAGATAAATTTATCATCAAGAAATTAGCAAAAACACGAATCCGCATAATGCTAAAGTAAATGTGCAGAAAGTGCCTATCTTCATCATCCTCTCCACTGTCTAGCGCATATTACGTTGCATAGCATATTCAAGAACAGAGATGACATAAATCTAACTACAACTACACTGTGCATCACCTGTCAACTACGAGGAAGTAAATGATCCTAGAGTTATCTAAAAATAGTTAGCCACTTATCCTACAATTCCTTTTTTGAAAAACAACTGTTATAGCTCCATTTGTAGCCAAAATAAAAGAGTATACCCCCATAATAACAAAACTCAGACAATTTGGCTCTTTTACTTCTTCAATCAACATGTATTTGAATAATTTAAGGTTACGAAGTTATTCTACTACCAATTATTTAGAGCTCCCAACTTCAAGCTGGAGTAACTCCCAGCAGCGAAAATGATTGCAAAAAACAACTATTTCTAAATAATAAAATAACCACGATGGAAAGTTCCCCCTATGCATTGTGTCAAGACTCCCACCCCAATGTTCCTTGTAAATGTCTTCTACAAGTATGGTTTTCTTCTTTCAA